TTTTGTTTTGGTTTGGGGGGGGGGGGGGTTGGTTGCCATTTTAGTGTGATTCCTTATCCATACTCAACTATTCAGTTTGCATTAATCTATTTGCAGAAATCAGTTGTTTCATTAATATTCTAAATAGAAAATTTTACTCCTCCCTCTTTTAAATACAGTGGAGTCACATCATACGCGCATTTAACTTACGCGAATTCAACTATACGCAGGGTGGGATTGGGGCGGGGGCTTGAGTTTGCACGCGGCGCTGCCATTTACCTGGAGGCCCATTATGGCGTTGACGGCCACTGCCTCCAAAACCTCCCGCCGCCACCACGGAGCCATGCCTGGAGCTGTGTGGCCGGCCACCGGGTGGCAGCGGCAGTGTGGTGGTGGCCGGGCGGCACGCAACCATCCCACCACCACCCCACACTGCACCATTGCTGCCAGCCGCACAGCTCTAAGCATGGCTCCATGGCAGCGGTGGGAGGTTTTGAAGGCAGAGGCAGTCACCACTGGCACAGTAATTTTGACTATACGCGATTTTCGCCTTACGCGCTGACTTTAGAACCTAACCCCCGCATAAGATGCAACTCCACTGTACCCTCATTTGTTGTTTCCCTCTGGTTTTACCCCACACAGAAAATACACTTAGGTATATTCAAAAAGCAAAATGCAGAGAGTCTGCACAGGAAATAGAGCCGGCAGTAATTTATAGCAAGTTACTTGAATAGGGTATTGATTCTGCTCAGAAGCTCTTGAAAGAAATCTTGTCTTTTGTGGCATTTAAAAAAATGTTTTTAAGCTAACTTTGAAAAAATAACTGCTATACTTCAATGGGGCTTCAACGTTTTCCTGAACAAAGATAATTCCTAGAATTAGGGCATGAATGTACAAGCATAACAATAAATATAAATGTTTCCCCAAAACCATAGTTAGAGTCTCTGTAAAAATGCCAAGTCATTTTAAGTACCTCCAGAAGTAATCCATAGAGTTTATGGAATGAACTGGCCAGAGTGCTTATTTGATGACTAATGTAAAAAAAAAATTATACCTGTCTACAGATCTGAGGTTCTAGGACAAACATCTCAGATCTACTGTAATTACTGTGAAAGGTTATCAGGGGCATCTGACTAGTCTAGATAAATTCATAAAATCATTTCATGCGGTTAGCTTTTGTTAGAAGTTTTCCTCATAAATATCATGGCAATACACTGACGTTTTACTATATGGGACAATACAGGCAAAGGATATTGCTTAGAAAACTACATGTAATTAGAAAAGTAAGGTATTAG